GCCCATGAATCACGTGACCAGAAATGATGCAAGCTCCACCCATTTCTCATTGCCTGTGAAAGAGAGATACTCATTGTGGTCTGGTAAGTAAACATTTTTACAAAAAACGTTTTTGCTTGTCAAAGTACATTTTCTAGATGTCAGCTATATCGGCTGTCATGTCAACATGTCAATCATTAAGCTAAAGATGACTGAATTGTAATGCTAGGCTATTTTTTCTAAAATGGTGGCTATAGGGTAAAGTGAACCATGGGCCTTGGGGTAAGTTGAGCCAGTTTTTAATGGAGCAATTAATGAAAGCAGGCCAAGTTGATAATAAGAGCTCATTGTAGGCTACATTTAAAGTTGAAATTACCCTGTGTTTGATTGGTAAGATGTATGAAATTATATCACCATTTGTATGATTACTTTTCCTTTCAACATGTTAAAAAAATTCAATCAATTCAATCAAAATTTATATTTAAAATATTTGAAAAACTAAGCTTGTATTTGGTTTGTTATTTATTGTTTATAGTTACCTTTAAGATTTGTTGTAGGTATGCCCAGGTTTGAACAGTGGTTCAATGTACCCCCTGACCTGGATCAACTTACCCCTACACTGGGGCAAGGTGAGCCACAAGACTTTTTTTTTTTTTAAGAAGTAATATTTTCACTGTCCTTGATCAAATATTTTTTATGCGGAAGTGAAAATGTCTTACTAAAACGACGCCAGATGTCACTGTAGTGTATATTTCTGTATATCTTTTTGAAAATCTAGTGTATTCATCATTTTCCTACACATTTATTCACTGGTGTCTCTAACCTGCAAGTTGCTCTTTAAGTGGTACACATATTCTTCCCAGTGTGTTCAAATGTAATCATGTAGGCGGGAAAGGGAATAAACTGTGGCTTACCGTTAAAGAAATCCGAATGCACTGCTTTTTCATTGGCTGCCAGGTCCATCAGCAGGCCGCTGCTGCCCCCTGCCTGTGAACACACAGCGGTACAACCCGTGTCATGGAACTAGCTAAACACACACACAACACATTAGGTTAAATCTATATAATAGGGATACAGTCTACAAGAGAATATTGGGTTAACAGGAATGGAATTGGCAATAAGTAATATTTAAAAATGCTGGCTCTGGGGAATCCCCTGTGTGTTATAAAGAGGGCAACGCCTGCGTTGTGCAGGTTGGACATATAATTTAAAACATGAGCTCTTATCACACTAGTACTTTAATAAAAGAAACGTGTTCATATTAACCGGGGTTATAAGGCATCATTGGAAAAATAAAAAGTAGCAATAGAATTGTAATGTCTGCATTTTGAGGGTTACATATTTTTGGCACAATGCATACAGACTGATAAGAAAAGTATGCTACCTTAGCCGGTTTGTGCTATAAAAAGCGCTGACGTTATATAGGCCTACATGGAATAAATGTAAAATGTTTATTGTGTTATAATTATATCCTGAAATGATGCAAATTGACGGTTGTAATAAGCATTTTCTTAAGGAAGACTAACACAACTTTACAACTCTAACATTACTAGGCTAGTTAGCATTAGCCATTGTTTTTGGACAATTATGTTTCAATATTTTGTTCCGAACCAGTTGACCCACCTCGTCCAGGTCTACGTAGGGTCCGGCTCCTTCAGGAAACATCTCGTCCACTGCGGGTTTCATGGTGTATCAGTATCAGCAGAACTTATGTTTAAAAGATGTTGCAGCTTCGAATTTGTGGCTAGCTAGGCTAGCTTCTTGGAGCACGTAAACAAAACAAATGTGTGCAACACTCAATTGTGCTCGGCCTTCTCTGCTGGCTTGTTGTAAACAGTCCGCGCTCTGCTTTCAGTTAAAAACAGACTGTAACGTGTAGCCTGACAGAAGCCGTTTCCTTCCAAACAATAAAGTCAATATTTATTTTGCAACATTAACATGTGTTTTTTCTTAATTATTAACTCTTCATATCAAGGCAAGGCAAGGCAAGGCAAGTTTATTTATATAGCACCTTTCAACACAAGGCAATTAAAAGTGCTTTACAAAAAATGAAAGACATTAAGAAAATGGGATTTAAAATCAGTCATTAAAAAGAAAAGATAATAAAATAAACATTAAAAGAAAAAATACATGGATAAAAGTTACAGTGCAGTTTAAGATGTGAATAGTTAAATTAAAAGCAGCGACAAAAAGAAAAGTCTTCAGCCTGGATTTAAAAGTAGTGAGTTAGCGGACCTGCAGTTTCTGGGAGTTTGTTCCAGATATTTGGAGCATAATAACTAACACTGCTTTACCATGTTTAGTTCTGACTCTGGGGACAGAAAGCTGACCAGTCCCTGAAGACCTGAGAGATCTGGATGGTTCATAATTTAGCAGGAGGTCAGAAATGCATTTTGGGCCTAAACCATTCAGTGCTTTATAAACAGCAGCAGTATTTTGAAATCTATTCTTTGACACACAGGAAGCCAGTGTAAAGACTTCAGAACAGGAGTGATGTGATCCACTTTCTTAGTGTTAGTGAGGACTCGAGCAGCGGTGTTCTGAATCAGCTGCAGCTTTCTAATAGATTTTTTAGTGAGACCTGTGAAGACACCATTGCAGTAGTCCAGTCTACTGAAGATAAAAGCATGGACACGTTTTTCCAAATCCTGCTGTGACATTAGTCTTTTAATCCTAGATATGTTCTTTAGGTGATAGTAAGCTGATTTAGTAACTGTTTTAATGTGACTGTTGAAACCAATAACTAATTTAACCCGCTGACAAGAGAGCCCACCTCCGAAGATCGTGACTGGCTGAGGGACAGACTCGGGGGCAGGTT